GGGGGAGGGGCGGAGGAGCGCTCCCCGTTCCCATTGGTTGCGGCTGCCCCCTGGTGGGCGCCGGTGGCTGCGGCCGGGCGAGTGAGGGGCTCGGCTCGGCTCGGCTCGGCTCGGCTCGGCTCGGCTCGCGCTCGCGCTCCCTCAGTCGTCGTCGTGAGGCGGTGGGAGATGGTTCCTCGGCCGAAACTCCACCGAGGCGGCCCAGGCATGGCTGGGTTTCATTGCGAGACGAAGCGGTAGAGGTGAGGGGCGCTGCCTTTCCCCCCTCCTCCCGGCCGACCGCCTCGCCAGAGCAAAGGCTTGGGCCTTCGGCAGGTGCCCCCCCACCCCCGTGGTACCTGGAACCCGGGCAGCCGACACAGGGCTGTTTCCTCGTGGTAATATTAGCAGTGTTTGACAGAAAAAAGTCATCGTGGTGCTTGATTATGGCATCCCCTTTCCTCACACCGCAGCTGTGGTGGTGGCGGTGATGTCTTGGTGCTGTCACTGAAACGCAGACTGGACCAAAGTCCTCCCACAAGTACTGGTCTGTCAGTCAGGGTGTCCTGGTTTGGGCAGACCAGGACACACGGCCACTCAATTCAGTTGGTGAAACTTTATTTCTACATGTGAAACGAAAATTATTCACTTGCTACTAATAAGGGCTTTCTTGAAATATTTAGGCATATTAACAAAATAAAAATGAGGTGCAGCTAGCCTTTTATTAAGAATCCAGATGTTAAGATCTAGTGTTGCTGCGTTAGAGTCTGAAGCGGTTTGTGCCCCCCTCAGCTGAGCTGTTCTGGGCTGGGTTTGGCCCCATGTGGGTAGTGCACCCCTGTGCCTCCTCCTCAGGGGTTTGGGTTGGTTGGGTAAGCCCCATCACAGGTGGCCTGAACTTTGACAGTGAATGGACTGGTGGCAATATTTGCCTTTTTGCTCTTTGGGGAATGGCTGAGAGAAAGGAAATAGCTGGAGATGTGTCCTTTTCTAAAATATTCCCTTCTGAAAGAAAAGTTTAGAAATAGGGTATTGCTTGTGCTGATCACTAGAAGGGACGCTTTGTATTGAGGACACTGAAAGGGGGAGGGGGAGCATTTTGTGCTGTGGTAGTGTTGAAAATGGATTTTACACAGATGAACTTGATTTCATTTAGGTGGGGCTGTGTCCTGTCCCAGGTGTAGGCAGTTAGTGCAGGGCTAATGAAGCTCGCTCTGCTTACTACACAGATGAACTTGATTTCATTTAGGTGGTGCTGTGTCCTGTCCCAGGTGTAAGCAGTTAGTGCAGGCTAATGAAGCTCGCTCTGCTTAGTTTAGAGTTCCAGCAAGGTTAACTCTGGCAATATTTACTACTATGAACTGAGTGGAAATAGCTGAACTGCTTCCAGATCTAATCTGTCCATGGAAATAACATAGTCTTTGGCATGGTATTGTGTAAATAATCAAATAAACCTTTTGATCTTGGTTAATTCTGCGTGGAGGAAAGCCCTAGGTGTCCACATCTGGGCATCATTCATATGTAAACCGACTAAACCCCCCCATTGATAGGTCAGATTTGGCTGTAATTTGTTTTTCAGGAGCCCAGTATGTTTTGTGATCTAGCTTCCTCTTCTGACTATATAGGAGCTCTAAGCTTTCACTAGTACAGTCAAAACCAAAAAATACTTGGTTTGGTGTGTGATTTAAGGTGAATTATTACAGTGAGAGGCAATACAGTATTTTTCTGGAAAACTATGAATGTTTAAATCTAGGAACTCATAAATTAGAGTTAAGTAGCTACTTTGGATATATTAAAGGACTTCAATGGATTAAAATAATGGAGCAAAGAATTTCCATCTGTCTCATTTAACTTAAATTATTATTTGCTCAAACCTAAGGATTACTATTCACTTGGCACACACAAAATAAAGAACAATTTATTATAAACTCACCAAGAGTGAGAGGAGAAAATAAAAAGATGGGTAGAGGGACGTGAAATATTTAAGGCTCCCTCTTGAACAGATAATGGATTCCCAGTGTCATCCCCTCTGTGGTGATAGGTCAAGCTCCTTCTCCTCTGCCTAGGCTAGACAGCTTTTCTTGTGTTTTTTCCAAAGGGAATTGGAGGATATTGAAGGACAACGATTAGTAGTCTAGAGAAATCTAGACTACTGTTTATGAATAAAGATTACTATGTTTACTCAGAGTAAATTTAAGCCTTACCTGTAGTTAGAAGTTAATGGAATGACATCTTCAGGGTTCTGCCAGATGTCATCACAAAAGTGAAAACATCTTTTGAAAGTAGAGATTTTTTTTCCTATTAGAAAATCAGAGTTATGATTCATTTTTGAAGTAAACTCCACAGAAGCAGCTCAGAAGGTGTTAATGAAACAAGACAGAAGTTTGGTGTAACATTAGGTCAGAGATATTCACTAAAGAAACTGTAAAGGGTTTTTGTTATGTTTTGGTTTTTTTGAAGTTTCACAATATATGAAGAGAGGTTTGAAAGTGTACATTTGAATATAAATGTTAAATCACTTTCCTTCTTGCATTTTACATTATGGTTAGGAATAATGGAAATATCAAGTCTGGCTGGGTTTGACTGGAAGATATTTGACTTCAGAACGTGCATGAGTCTTTTCACAGCAGCGATACTAGGAGGCAATGCAACGGAAAGCTGATCCGCCTGAGGAAGTTAGTATATGCACTTTACCTGAATTTATGTCTGGTTTACTTCAGTTTAGCTTCTTGTGGTTAAGTGACTGGCACATATGAAAGATAGTTGACATACTATACTCACTCCTATTTAATGAAGACTGACATTGGACTAATCCAATTAAATGACTTTCTTAAGCTTCATAGACTCCTGTGTTTTACAGTTTCCTAACGTTCAGTCTCTTTGGGTGCCTTATTCCCACTAGAGGAGTTATGGTAAGAAAGACCTGAACTTCTGTGAATAAATAAAAGTACTTAGCCTGTTCTGCATATTTGTCCTAAGTGTATGCATAAGAAGAGGCTCAGTGTTTTGCAGGAAATATCGGGAGTCCTTTATTCCTGGTAAAACTAAATTGGAGTTGCACTCTCTTACAGCATTTAAAGATCAAACATTTAATGTCTTTTTATTCCATTTCATCTTCCTGAGTTTTTCCATGTAAAAAAGATCTTATGTGGTTATATCACCTTATTCTGTTACTGTCTGTCCACTCCTAGCACTGACTGGAAGTTGATGTGGTTCACTGCTGTTCCGTCTGTCCAGTAAGAAGTACTTTCAAGGCTACTCCATCTATGGTGTGAGTCTTTGTTTAAATACTGTTGTCCTTTTCTAGGAATGTTGTCTAGAAACTGATCACTTAATACAGTTCTAATTCTTTAAAACTGACAGAGCACCAGCGAGAAAAGCCCTCTGATGCAAACAGATGGAAGTCTTGCCTGGGTGTCTCATGAGAATATTTTTCTGGGGTGAGTTCTGTCTAAATGACTGGGACAAAGTCACACCTGTCCTGCTGGGCTCAGTAGCTTGGGCTATTGAATCAAAGGTCTCTGTATTTTTCCCATCACAATAAACCCACCTGTGTATCGTTCTGTCACTTATGACACATTTCTGGTAAAATTTTTGAGTTTTTCTCCACAATTTAGCTGGCTATAGTTAACATCCAAAGTGCATTCATTCAAGGTAAGTGCATTCTTTTGGAACCTCAAAGGGCTGTTTATAATTGAAATAGGTGGTTAAAAATTACTGATTTCTTGGCCATAATATCATGGGTTTAGGCAGACTCTTGGTAGTAGCTGTGTAATTGTGAAAAAGGATTCATTATTTTTCATATCTTTGGGCTTGAATATTCACAGTTGCATTCTGCATTCTTTATAAATTTCCATTCTACAAAAAGGGTTCTATTCTACAAAAAGGGTTACCAAGCATTGGAATGGGCTGCCCAGGGAAGTGGTTGAGGCACCATCCCTGAAGATGTTCAAAAGACGGCTTGACATGGTGCTGGGGGACGTGGGTTGGTGATGTTTTTTTTGTCAGAGTTGGGTTGATGGTTGGACTAGATGATCTTGAAGGTCCCTTCCAACCTAGATGATTCTATGGTTCCATAAATATCTCAAAGTTGGCCCTTCAGTAGAAGAGTCCAACTGATACAGAAATAGCTAACTGATTTGTTTTCTTAACATATACATGTAGAGCAAAGAAATTAAAACATGAGCCTAAAAAAGTTAACATTCATATTTATACCAGGTTGAAGGATTTTTAGCAGAACTATTACCCTGCTCATTACATGAACTTGGTTGTACAATCTAAAGTTAATAGCAAGTATAAACTTTGTATGTTCCTCAAGTCTGGTTTGACTTCCAATTCAGAAGTTTTTTTTTAGTGGGAAAATGACTCTACAGTAATTGTCTAAATTGTTTTATGAGCCTTTTCAGAAATATCAGTGTTAATGCATTGTTGTTTAAATTACTGTGTTGGAAGGAAGATCAAATTGGAATGTGAGTTACCTTGAAAATCTGCATTTAAATTAATCTGGGAGGTGGAAACTGTCTTTGAGTTTTGTATACTAATTCTAACATATTTTATGATGAATGCATATGATGGGTGAGATAGAAATTGTTTTTTTCTGTGTGTGCATTACATTTTTTGTCTTCTTAAAATAAATGTCATGTTTTGATGGTATTACAATAGACACTGTATTGCTGCCACAGTGCTGTTTGGGTTATCTTGACACATTTATAATCCAGACATGCTGTGCTTGAATGCATTGGCTTAAGGTTGTATTTGTGAAAGACAGAAATGTGTGGATTTTAGTTCTTTTCATTCTGCTTAAAAGCATATACAAGCAGTAATTGTTCTCTCTCTGAAGACGATATCTCTATACATACACATTTTTAGCACTATTATTTTAGATACGATAGGACTGTAATATAAGAGATGAAATCTTGATACTGATACTGGTTTACAGTTTTTTGGGGGTTTTTTTTGTTGTTTTAAGAAAAGCAAAATTTACATGATTTTCACTTCTCACATTATGATGGGACTTGCCGAAACAGGAGAAATCACATAAACATGTTCTGAATATTTGTATTTGTAGGTTTGGTTTTTTTTCCTCATGTCAGTAAAAGCTGGCAGAAAGCTCTAATAAAGCAAACTACTTTGGATCCCTAATTTAACTTAGTTTTAAGGTTGCAAGATTTATGAATTGTTTGTACTTTCCTGAAAACCTGCACATGCTGTTGAAATAGTTGTATTTCTGCTAATTTTTTTCCTCTTTATTAGAAATGTTGAACACTTTCAAGAATGGGGTGACAGATGTTTTTCCGCAGATTCCAATTAAGTCAGGTCCTTTTCTGATATGTTTCATGTCTGTAAGTTGTGAAACTGTTCTAAACATGCAGAATTTTATGCAATCGCTTTTCCTTCTATCTACAGAAGGTTGAATTCTTATTGATTCTCTTAGAAAAGAAACTACTTTCCGTGACTAAGTTAAGACAATATAATCTTTAGAAATTAATAAATTGATAAAATGTTTCTTTAAAATGTATGTCATGGCATTTAGTGTGTTCCATGATGTGGATATTGACTTTATATATATATATCCCGGTTACACCTGTGTTACTTTAGTTGCTGGGAAGAGCATTATATTCTGGTTTTTGAAGAATGTTAATTTGTATGCCTTTGCATTGTGTGAAAAATAATTAGTATCAAAATATAGCTGAGTTGGCAGTCTGCTGTGGCCGTTAGAGACAAACTGACTGTGGGTTTCTATGCTAATATTAAACCATGCATTGTAATACGCTATTTAGAAAAACTATCCTTTTTTGTGTCTTGAAATTGCGATATGGATAAGTTTTATCTACTTATTTAAAAATATAGCTCTGTAGGAAGTAACATCTTCTGTTTTGGTGCCAAATGAAATGATCTTATTACTCTCTGAGTTTCCTGCAGTGCTAATGCTGCTGTTGCCAGCTATTGACTGAAAGACTTGCTTTGCAAAGGCCCATCCTTGCTTACAAGACAATACTCGCTAAAGATGACTAAGTAAACAAAAATGCAGTGTATTGACATCTGTATTAGAAGAAAAAATATCCCAAGCCTAGTAGGGACTTAGATATATAAATGAGTGTCTGAGAAGGAGAAAGAATAATGGATATTAATAGATAAACAGGACTGAAAGGACTGTCACTGTTGCCACGTTCCTCCCTCTGTCCTCAGACAAGATCAGCTCTCTCTAATGTGAATCGTTTTGTGAATTTTAATGAAGCTTTTTGATTTTGATTGATTTTGAGTCTCTGCTTTATTTCTATAGATTGTTTTTGTAGTAAATACAAGTTTATCATGTAATTTACTTTTTCATTTAAAAAGTCAGCTCCCATATGAATCTGTTTGGTTCTAACCTGTTTGGTTTGGCAATGCTAGAAGTTGGTGTACTAGAACAGCAGAGTAACAGGGGTGTGGTAGAGATGAAGCAGCCTCATTATAGTTTATTTCCAGAAATAATTTTAAAAAAATTACTTATTTGTGTCAATTGTCACTTCAAAATTTCACAGAGATAATTACGAGGGGTAACATGGGGAAGCTTTTCTCCAGTGGTTTCTTCTGAGATGCAGGAAGAATCTGGCACATCTTGACTGAAGTTAGCCTTTGTGAATTGTCTGCTAAGTAGTTCCCCCAAAATGTTGGTGTCACCTAAGAAAGAGGTATCTTACATCACTGCATTTTTCAAGCTCTTCATTTAGAAATTAGCCAAGTGCTCTATTCTATTCAGGTATTTCTGTGGAAGCTGATTTTGTTTAAACAAATGTGCCAAAGTGTTTGAAGGTTCCCCAAGTGGTCTGTGGAAGCTGATTTTGTTTAAACAAATGTGCCAAAGTGCTTGAAGGCTCCCCAGGGAGCAAAGGTATTTATTTAACCTTTAGCCCATGACCTTCCTATAGGGCTGAGTTACGTTTACAAAAGGGCTGTATGGCTGTGGAAATAATCAAAAGGGTGTTGGACATTTTATCCCTGTAGTTGGAATGTCCAGGTTATGGTCCATGTCCCTTGAAACAATGACTTACTTGTGTTGAGCTGCTCAAGATGATACTTCAGACCTGGGCTACTTCAGCAGCTGTTGCTTGCTTCCGTGTGGCCTTGCTTTGTTCAATAAACATTGTCCTGTTTTTTTCTTCTATTTGAAGTGGTTTGCCAGATCCAAGTTTTGATCATCTGAAAGAGCCTTTTGACACAACAGAATTTCACAGACTTTACAGAGATGAGAGACCTGGGGTAGTGGGTATGTAACAGAAACTTTTATTTTTTGCCTTTAGAGACATGCTTATGCTGCTGTGAATGGACCTTATGTTCTGTGTTATCCTTTGACATGAAGCTGAATTGAGTTTTATTTCTTTTTAACATTTTTAGCTGTTTCTGCATACTTTTTAATTGGTTTTGCATTTCATTTTTTTCTCGTGCTTGCCATCTCCTCTAAACAAGTCATGTTTTTCCAACATCTTTGATTCCAATATTTGGTTCTTTGTTTTTCCTTTATTCTATGAAGAAGGAAACTAGTCTAGTAGATCAGGAGATCCAAACATAAAGGCTTCATTAGCAAAAAGGTAGAGACCTCTGGCATGTCCTGTCTTCTCACAGAAAACTGCCAGGCCTTATTTCTCCCCTGCATGAATTAGATTTTCCAATCTCCTCAGCCACTTGAAAACTTATGTTAAGAAAAATACATTGCTTTCCTTTTACATAGATCATGGTACCTTTGAGCAGTCTTTGATCTGGTGGATGCAGAAGTACCATCCATTTCCTGCACAATCCTTATTTGTACGACCTCTGTATAATTTTCAGGGATCCCTAGCAAGAAGCAGGCAAACCCTCAACTTTCAAGACAGCCCTTGCACATAGAGTTGATGTGCAGGTGATGTGCTGAGTTCATTCAGGGTTGCCGTGGCAACCTTTTTTTCTTTATCCAGAAAAAGACTGCTTTATCAGCAAATGTACCCTTTCACAGTACCCCGTGACTTTTGTTCAGGGGTCTCATAGCTATTAGAAGCAATAGATAGGCGGGCCCTGAAATTAGCAATGTCACAGGGCCTCTTGGACATCTTTGCTCCCTAATGCTCTTTATCCTTCATTTGCAGGTGTACCAGATTTATTCTCTCCAGCTTCTCTCTCTATTTTTTTGGCAAAAGGCTGTCCCTTCCATACTACATGGGGGCATATAATTTCCTATTCTGAGTTTTGAGCACTATTATTTTATAGCTAGGTGATACAATTCTCAGTCCTGCTGTTCTCCTGTCCATTTCCCTTGATCTCAAAGAGATCTTGCTCATCTTTTCCAACAGTCTACTTTGCTGTGTATAACTGCTCTCCTGCCCCTAGGAGCCATCAGATTTGGTCTGTTTCATGTCACTGGCAATTTTTTCAGTAATAAGAAAGAAAACAGGAGGATGGAAACCCAAACTGAGATGAAAATGATGATAGGGGCTATAATAAACTAACTCCCTTCCAGAAGCGAAGGACTTATTTCTCTACATGTAGATCTCATAATAAAGTGATTTGACTCTCTCTCAGAAAATTATTCTTCATTTCCAGTCAGTCAGGATTACTGGGACTATAAATCTATCCCGTTAAACCATGGGGATGGTGCATAAGCAGTATCTTATTGACAACGATTTAACAGACTGGCGGATGGCAGATTAATGAATTAATGTATATTTTTTATATATTTTCACATAAGCAAGTGCATGTGCATATGGTTTTTTCCACATCAAATAAAATATCTTGCCTACAGAAGGCTCTTGGGATTAAAAGGATTGGAAATAATAACACACTTCTCTTTTAAATGAATAAACCTATTTTGCAGTTTTCCCAGTCCGCAACATCTATCTGTTGAACATTACATGGGCACTGCCCCCACAAGAGAAAAATTTCAGGTAAAATGATGTTTAGACTATTATAACATTAATTATTTAATTATCTTTAATTTATGATATATTTTGATTTCATGCTAATTATAGTTTGTGTAGAGAATCCAGTAGATGAACAAGACCTCATGTTGTGGTAATACCACAGAAAAGGATGATTTCAGAAAATATATTTTGTGCTCTGGTTCTTTGAAAATAGCGTACAAAATAGTATCAGTTTTAGGTATAGTATCTCAATGTTGACATAATAGCTATAATATCCCATAGACATAACTCACTTTTAATGATCTTCATTGCACAGGCCATGAGTTGATACTGGTGTGTTGTAGGATCCTGAGGAGCTACAGGGCTCATTTGGATGGGCCAGTCGTATCCCAGCCTTCCTTGCCTTTGGCCTCTGGGACTCCAGCCCAAAAATGCACTCCAAGCCTGTGTGGTCTTTGACCCAATTTGAGAGAGATGTTAAAGATCTCTGGTGGTACCTCCAAAAGTTCCTGTGGTGAGGTTAGGGAAGGTGTGTGTGTTTTCCCCTCTATGGTGGCACAAAACTCTGATTTAGGAGGACCAGAAGAGCTTGAATGCTTCCCCAATCACTTTGCATCCTGCAGTGGAATAAGAAAGGTCAGGCAATAACTTATGTTCAAAAAGAAGACTTCAGTAGAATGGATTTGGTTTATTTAATAGTAAAGAAAAGGTCATGTCTTTTGTTCTTTTATTCTCACATAAATTGATTTTGTAAAGTTGAAGTTGGTTTATCACCATTTGTGTTCTATGGCTTTGTTATTTCAGTACTGGAGAAAAGGTCATCTTCTTAGTGGGTACCTGATATTCCATGGTCCATTAAAACTGCATTATTTCTGCTGAAGCTGAAGTCCTTTTTTCTTGCATTGTTTTCTCTTTTCTTCCCCACTCCCCCCCCACCTTCATCTGCCTCGAGTCAACCCAGCTCCAACTGGGTGCTTTGTCATGCGGGCTAGCGTATCAGAGGGGCCTGGTATGATTATATCTTTGCTTTATTTGAAAGAAAATAGAAACTCAGAGGTCTTGGCTGAGTAAGCCTGGTATGCCATTTAGATTCACGTAGATTTTCTTAATGATTTTTTCACTGTGCAAGAGCTCGAAGAGATTCCCACTCTGGTGTCTTTCTTTAGGGGCGATTTGCATTATCTGTCTCAAAATGAAGTGTCAGTAGAAGACAGTGACTGAGAATTGCTTTCTTATTGTTTTGTTGACCTCTAACTTCTCAACATGAAGCTGCTCCAAGAACTGAAAGCCTTTCTAACAACTCCCTCTATTTCTTTTTTTTTTTTTTTTTCTCCCCAGTATTTACCCCCTGGTTTCTATTAGAGATTTAAGTAAGAAAATATGAAGGCATCTCAAGAGTGAAAACATCTGGGAAGAAGGAACCAGTCTGGGGCTTGCAAGACTGGTAGCAGTTAAACAAAACCAAACCAAAAAAGTCAGAAACCCAACCCAAAACCTTGCAACCCTTCTGTCTCATCAAACCTTCATATTTTCTCTGTACAGTCAGAAATCTCTGGAATCAGAGAGATACAATACAAAATAAAACTATATTTTCATTATTAGTATAATGATATTCAGTAGGATGACAATTTAGTTCTTATTGGGAAGCTTTTTGATGTAGCATTTATATCCTGTAAGAGGATTTTTGTTATTTAGAGGCCTTTCTATTGCTTTTGACATAGGGAGGTAATAGTAGCATCTATAAAGATAATGGAAACAGATAAAGACATTATGCCAGTCTTGAGCAATTTGGAAACTGAATAAGCATTAAATCTTCTTTCACCAGAAGGGTGGCTTTTTCTGTTCTTAATGCAAAGTGACTACAATTCCAAATTCTCTTTAGTTTTAAATGTAGTTCAAAGAATGCAAGTTTGTGAAAAAAACCCAACAGTCTAGAGGAAAGGTATTTACATACTGAAATCGAGGCTGACAGTGTTTCTGCAGTTGTTCTCTCTCCCCCCTCCTCCCCCCCCCAGCTTGTGTACATTTCCACCTGATTTCTTCAAGGTCTGCAGAGAGGTAAGAATATCTCTCTGTAATCTGCCTTGTGAACCAAGACAGAAAATTAAACCTGTGATAAAGTAATACAATTAAAATGTCCACTTCAGGTTAAAATAAAGACTTCCCTTCTTTCATTTAATTTTCCGTGTTGGTAGTTATCTTTTGAGGAGGTAGGTGTTAGCAAATTTTTGCAGGAGAAGGAAAACACGTACAAGGTGTTAGTGCAGCTGGCTCAATATAGAAGTAACTTATAACCCTAAGGGTAACAAGAATAATCTGCTCAAACAGAAAGGTATCAAAGCCTCAGCTGGAATGGGCCATCAGCTGTGGGCAGCACATTCAACAAACTGAGACATCTCTAGTGTAGCTGTGGAAGAGACTGATGCAGAGCAGCAACAGAGTATGTGTGTATTACCTAGTTTTCTATTGTAACTCTATGAATATATTGCATCTCCCCCCAAGGAGCATGCCCGCTCACCTTTGATCCAGACTGTTGTAAAAAATTGGTTTGTAAGATCACTAAAGTGCTTCATGAAAGGGAGAATCATTTATTTGAAATATCTTAAAAAGCCTGAATTTCACCAGGCCTTAACAGTATAGGTTTTGAATTTTTAATAGAAATGCTTGATTTTAATACTCTGGGGCATTTCATGCTTTTTAACCATCATGAAAGATTCCTTAAAGTGATAAAATGCATTTATACCTATTTTGACTATCACAGCCGCTTCCCTTTCAGATAAAGTTATGAATCTTCCAAATGTCTTCTCTGCAGTTACCTCTAACACATTTTTTAGCATTGTTAATATACAGCAAACACATTTTACTAAGCATTAATGTAGTCCTTGAAAATTAATTCTTTATCAAAGGTAGGTGTTATCCTTGTATACTCTTGAGAATGCTGCAGGGAATCATATACTTAAACCTTTTTTTTTTTTATCTCTTCCTCTGGCATATAAAATTTCTGTCTGTGCCAGAAAACAAGACATCCTTGTGTATCCTCTGAATAAAAAAAGCTATACCTAAGTAGGTGTTTCAAGGTCTTAGCATAAAGGGCTTCTTGTTCTTAGAAGTATTGTCTTGAATGTTTGTTTCTTTTCTGTGTTGATTCCCATTCTAATGCCCGTTTGCATTCACGTAGTGGGGTTGCTTCTAGACAGTTTTGTGAGCATCCTCTCTCTGAACCTGTCAGGACCAGCCCATGGAGCTGATACTGCTAAGATGGAGTACGAACTGGTGGCTGGAGAGCACAGTTTGGTTGTTGGAGTGAACAGATTGAATCGTAAGATGCCTGTAAGTACTAACAGCACCTTGTCATTAACAGAGCTCAACAAATTGTGTGTGGAGTGTTATTTTCTGCTTTAGTCAGAGGCCTGAAATGCTTTGGTTTGCATTGCTACTCATTAATTCATAGTTTTGCATGGTTTTAAAGACTACAGAAGGATTTGCATATAATAAAGACCCAGGTCCATTTTTTGCCAACTGTCTCAAAATTGTAAGGGTAGTGAAGACTTACAGTTTAGGGTGGAGAGTTTATGACATGAATTATAAACAGAATGAGTGTGGAGTAAAGAAGGCTAAATACGAAGCAATTGGTCTTTGACTAAGGCAGTGGTTTTTTGCGTGGAGTAAGAAAGAAAATAAAATGAAAATGTTTAAAAATACTGAGGTCTGATATGAAATTTATAATGTGACTCTTCTACAAAGGAAATAGCATTTCCTTTACAGCCAGCTCATTGCTGACCATGTCTGACTTCAGTTTTGCTCCAGCAGTCTTTGAGGTGATTAAAGAGGAATTAAGAAAGGCTTACTTCAGTATGCTCATCAAATCAGAGGTGTTAGCCAAATGGGCGTCAGTGGGGAAAGGCTTAATTTTAGGGTAGTGGCAGAAAAGAAAGCAATCATCTTTGTTCTTCCTGTGTTGTCGTAGTAGTGTAAAGTAGTGGCTTGAGGAGTTGCCTGTCTTTTTATCAGAAATTACCATGCAGTTCTTCGCATGCTCTTGTTGAATATAGTGAATGCCAGCACAATAATTATATGTGAGCACAATTTTCAATCTGCCAAATATTTTTGCTTTATACGAAGTACTAGTACTAATGATCAGGTGCCAAAAGCTGACATGAATTCACATATAAAAAGTTATCCTCCGTGTTTTTTTCTTATAGTTGCTTGCATTTCTGTTAGCAGCACCTGTGTGTTTATGCACTTGGAGGTTAAAATTCTGTGATTATCAAATCTTCTCAATAAGTATCAGCTGGGTTCAGTCCCCTCCCAGAGTGCCAGCCCAGCTGCCCCTTGCTTTGTTCTAATTGCCATTGGTCCCAGATCACTCACATTTTATGCTCTTTCCTTACCAGATCCTCCCATCCTCTCTGGAAGCAAGCTTTGTTTGTACTTTGAGTATAATTTAGACAGTTTTTGTATTTATTTTCTTTTTCTTTTTTAAATTTTGGTAGAGAAGAGGAGCTACCTGAGGCCTGCTGCTGCAGAGGTTGAGGTAAGTAGGCAAAACTGATGTTGCTTAGGATCATTGTCAACCAGCTGAATTTCTGTGCGGTGCAGAAAGGAGAGCTTACTGGGGTCAGAGCTTTTCTGTAGCCCAACGGAGCAAGAGAGACCTAGAATCTTCCTCAACCAACTGAGGGAAACCACATTTCTAAGTCTCTTGAGTAAAGGCAGTAGCTGGTACTGTTTGACTAGAAACTGGCATCTTACTTGGTATTCATTAATTCTGGTGACATAAATATTCTGAGAGCGCTGTGTGTTCATTTTTATTGAAGGAGAAAATGTTAATCGAAATAATATATGGCTGTAGACTCCTGATCTGCAGGAGCAGCTGCAGGTTATTCCTTGTTGGCCTTATGCTTGTTATGAAGGTAGAGTGCACTCTAAAAAGGAGATACTAAATCAAAACTTAGGGTATTTTATAGCCTTCATAGCACTAATAGCTGTTGACACTACAAATTATGTTGTCTTCATTAGGATTTTGCCTTGAATTGACTAACTGAAATTAAAATGCTTCTGTAAACCTGCAGATTAGAAGGTGCTGCTCCAGTATTTAGGATTCAATTGAGCCTTTTGTAGGCTGCTGTGTAGGTAGCACAAAAGTGTGTAGGTCCCTCAGGAAAGAGGGAGATAACTGTGTCTCAAATAAATATATATATTTGTGTTCTGGGTAAGATATGTGCGGGTGTTTGAGGCTTTGCTGCCTGTGCTCCCTTCAGAAAGCTCCCGTTCCCTCCCCTGCCCAATCCCTGCTCTGTTCTGTTCCGGGTGTGGTGGTGTGCTCTCCCTGGTTTGCCCCCCCCTCTCCCTCTCGGCTCCTGCCCGGCCTTGGCCACCACGGCCATCACAACAGCAGCTGTGATAACTTGCACCCGGTCTCTGGGGGATGGCTGGCAGCATAGTCAAAATACTGTCTGGAGAGGGGACTTAGAAATTTTGTTGCCATGAAAATATGACTATAGGTCAATTATCTTACTGTATAAATAGTGGACAGCCCAAGAGCCCTTTGAGCTCTCCTGTATGGCAGCGGGCTGCACGCCAGGATCTCCCCTTTGGTGAGGATGCTCACTGAAGGTTCTACTCCTCGAGGTTGAGAGATTTCTTGCCGCAACAGAGTTTCCGGTTCTACTCCTCGAGGTTGAGGGAATCCTTGCCGCAACAGAGTTTCGGTAAGTGACTAATAGCATGCTAAACTTTGAAATTTTATCTAAGTAATGTAAAGGATTAATTGTGCATATATAATCCTTTAGACATAAACCGTTGACCAAGTCTGGGACTAGGATTGGATCCAGCCGCACCCAGACTCCTCTCTGAGAAGGAGTTTAGAAAGCAAGGGGGTCCTTTCTGAACCTCGTGACTCAACGGGAGGGTCTCCCTGACAGTTCTGTCTGACCCTGTCCTCTGTGCAGTAAATAATAGAGTGTACCCTGACATCGGATCTCGTAAAACACTATCGCATTTACCACTGGTTTTATCGCACTTACTACTGGTTTTGTTAAATCACTGTTTCACCTTAATAAATATTTCTCTGCTTCACTCTAACTAGTGAAGTTAATCACTCCGTCCGCGACACCGGGTGGTGGATTTGCCAAATACAGGTCTGCTCTCTAAGGTGAAAACTCGTAACAAATGTAATGGCAGCTGTGCAGTGACGGTGTGTTACCGGGTCAGGTACTAGAGATTTGCACGTAGTCATTCATATCACCTGTAGTCGTTCGCTGTGCAGTTGCAATTTGAAGTGTAATCAATGCAGAATGAGTCTGCATCATCACTGTGTGGGGAAAGTGAACTGATTGATGGTGATTTTGTAAGTACAGTTCCTGTGCTCAAGACTCGCTAAAATCTTTGATGAAATTACAGTTTATATTATTTTGTGCGTAGTTATTTTGGATATGTATTTTTTTGCTTTCCCATATGCCAGCCACCTTTTGTCACCTTACCTTTCTTGCCAGTTGATGCTTTTTTTTCCACTTCAGTTTAATCCAAGGTAGTCTTCCCACTCATGCAGTGGATCCCAAATGAAACCATTTGCTTTCTGCTTTGAAGGTATGATGGGAAACCAGAAATAGTTTGTTTTGAATGATAACATACTGAGCAGTTTGTGATGTAGTCCATTCAGCCTGGGTTTGTTCGTTGTGGGCTGGGGTGAGGAATTTAAGAGACTATGTTCTTATGGGGTTGCTTGTGATAAATTTTGACCATTCCTAACAAATCGTGAATGCTTTCTAGTGTGTGTATAGGCTTCATTTACATAGTATGCAATGCTTGGTACTTGGAAAAATAATGGTTAATAAGAAGATAGGTCATAACTCTGATGACATGTACGCTTGTTAGAGCCTCCTAGCACTTTAATGGTGTATGTACCTGGGACTGTCCTGGGACTTTACTTCAAACAATGCATTGTTTCATTGTTTCACTTAAGAATTAACAAATCACCATTTTTATTATAAAATATAAGTACTTGTGAAGGCTAATCTGCCTTATCCTGTTACAGAGAAATAGTTTTATTTGTGTTTATTTCTTCAGGGAGGATGTGGGAATCTGGGGGAAAATTTAGTGGGTCTAGGCCATTCTTTCTTGATTTAACCAGCCTTGTCTGCAGGGTCTGAACCAGTGTGGGTACAGTCAAACAGGAGAACTGTGAACAGCAGTACATTTTCACTAAATTCAAGCTGTATTTCAGATACACACAGAGGAGCCTTGTTTCAGTTTCCTGCAAACCAAGGCAACACTTGTGGGGAGGTGTAGCTCCCAATTTTTCCTGAACAATTAGTCCTATATACCTTGTTGCTATGGGAAACCATAACTGTAGCTAATTCCTGGAATACTGTAGCTGAAACTCCAGAGTACTACGTGTACTACGAACAAATGCAGTCTCATCACTAGATGCTTCTGTCTCAGCTTCTTAATTATTTATCTGGGTCTCCAGATGGGCTCATGTCTTACCTTTCATTGCATGTAAATCAGGCTTTGGGGTGCATCCCTATCTGTGTACATTTGTATTTCTTAGAGTCTGAATCTAGGCCAGTGACCATACTTGGAATATCATACCTGCTCTAATTTAATTGTTTTGATGCCCTGTATATTGAAGTTATGTGAGCTGCTGTAAACTGACAACATGACTGAAGAAAAAACCAAAATGTTCTGTATTTGGTGGTTGTCCACATCACTGTTCATGTGTAGTTGTGTCCTGGGCAAAGAGTGATAGCTGAGGCAAAGGAACAACTTGAGCTGTAATTTGGGACTGTGTGCCAAGGCTCTGTGTTCTCTCTTAGTCTACAAGAGACAAAGTAGTTATTCATGATCAGAGCCTGTACTGGTAGTTCTTAAGTCACCAAAAAAAAAGCCCTAAAACTGGAAGAACCAAAGGGAGATGTAGTTTGCAGAGTTCATGCCTCACCACATTGGGATGGAGCTCACACGTGCTTAACCAAGAAGGGTTTGGACCCAAAGGGTTTGAAATTTGGTCTTTCCTGCAAAAAGACATACGGTTGAGAGAATGAACTTACTTATTCTCAGAATTAATTTACCCAGCTGGCTGAGCTATTTAAAATCTCTTGTTGATACAATGCTTGCATCTATGGTACAGTGCTACAGATCATGGAAGCTTGTGTTTATCTGTTGGTTTTGGAAATGAAAATAATTTTACACAGTTGTCTAGAATCTCTGCTGTGCACACTCAACCATGCAACTGTGTTTTGTAATCTTGAGATTGCACAGACTGTGAGTGTCGTCTTTTTTATTCCTTTCAGTAAATACATGTTCTTTTTTTTCTCAAGACCATTGCCCTTAAAATTTTGCTGTTCCTCTTTGCTCTGTTAAAATTGTAATATTAATAATAAAGAGGCCTGTGTGAACAACAAAAACTCCTAAAATCTCTATTTTGAAATTATTACCATTGATTTTGTTTGTTAAGCACCGTCAGTTTTAGTGCCTGAGCAACTCTTCATATGTCTCTTTGGGTGATGATGCTTCTGTTTTGAGGACTGCTGCTATTTCAGAACTGAGTTTTGAAGTCTCGCAGGAAGAGCGGACGTGAAGCCTCCCAGCCAGAGTATCACTCTCATTCAGCTCATAGGGGTATAATTAACATTACTTTGTGGTCAAAGTGACTCTACTGAATATTGCCTTTTAAACAAGGGATATTAGGTATTTATTGGAAAAAGGCACTCGCCACAGGAGGCAGCTGAGAGGAACAGAAAGGCAGGCACAAGTAACGTTTGTCTTCTAAGCGTTATTGCAAGGTATTCTCTGTGCTTAGGTCTTACTTAGGTCTGTGTCTTATTAGCAAAATATGTAGATTCTGGGATTTTTCTTGAACGTTTGGTCATAAGGCTTTCCGTTATCTGTTAATGTGTAATGGCTTGAATTAAATGATTGTATGTGCTTTCAGCTAAGTCTGAGTGGGGGAATATATGCCTGAAAATAAATTACAACGGTTGGAACTAATTAATTCCTTGTTTGGCAGTCTCAGCAGCTAAAACCCTGAATAGGGTAATGCGAGATGTCTTTGTTATTTGGTCTCAGTTGTACCTGGCCAGGGACTGTAGTTACAGCTCTTCCACCTGACTTTGTGGCCTGTAGGCAAGGACTGAAGGACTGAACTGATAAGACAAAAAAAAAAGTATCCATTCACCCTTCTCTTTGCTGGAATCCTGCGTAAACTGTCCGTGTAACCAGGTTGGGGCTATCAAAGTGTCAGGGAGATTTGCTTGTTACACTTCTAACTCCCTGCTAAGGTCCCTGCTTTACCATGACTGGCGAGATTACAGTAGTTTCCTTAATAATGGGGTAGAATTTAGCAGGCAGATTGGGCTAATCCCTTAAGAAAATATTCTCCCACTGAGGTGCATAGTGAAATTTGAATGCTGCAAACAATTTGAAAAAAGATTATTATTTTAAAAATCATGTTAATTCAAACAAACAAAAAAAAGATGTGACCTGGAGAGATTTTTTTTTTTGTTGGTGGTTGTTGTTGTCAGTTCTTCTATTTCCTGCCATATTACTCTGCTAAAATATTTGACTGAAATGGAGAAAAACTTTAAAGTTACCAAATCCTAGCTTCAGTTAAACAGAAAAGTAAACCACCAATATTTACCAGTGTGTAAATCCAATCAGTTTGGTAATAACTATTATAACTATTTATGTCTGAAAAGTGTTAGCCACTTGGCAGTGTTCCTTTGGGGACAAAAAGTAACTGAAAGTTACTTTCAGTAAAACCACTACTGCCAAAAACTTTATAACAGTGTGTGATGCTGAAAGGTGGTATTGTCTGCAGTGCTCTGATTTATTATTTTAAAAATCATGTTAATTCAAACAAACAAAAAAGGATGTGACCTGGAGAGATTTTTTTTTTTTGGTGGTTGTTGTTGTCAGTTCTTCTATTTCCTGACATATTACTCTGCTAAAATATTTGGCTGAAATGGAGAAATATTTTAAAGTAATGAAATTCTAGCTTCAGTTAAACAGAAAGTAAACCACCAGTATTTACCAGTGTGTAAATCCAATTAGTTTGGTAATAACTATTATAACTATTTATGTCTGAAAAGTGTTAGCCACTTGGCAGCGTTCCTTTGGGGACAAAAAGTGACTGAAAGTTACTTTCAGTAAAACCACTACTGCCAAAAACTTTATAACAGTGTGTGATGCTGAAAGGTGGTATTGTCTGCAGTGCTCTGATTTCTAGTGCTTTGAGTGTATCCTGCAAATCACCTGGGGTGGGAAGAAGAATGGTCGTTTGATGCACAGTCTGGTTGTCTTGGGTTTCGGGAGGTACACATCAATGGATATTAGTGTTTATGAGGACTTAGTTCCCCTGGCTGATAAATTGGATTTTAATTTAAGTTATGCAGTAGATTTCCCACACAAGGGGTGGGAAGAAGAATGGTCGTTTGATGCACAGTCTGGTTGTCTTGGGTTTCGGGAGGTACACATCAATGGATATTAGTGTTTATGAGGACTTAGTTCCCCTGGCTGATAAATTGGATTTTAATTTAAGTTATGCA